CCATTTATTTCACTGGGTCAAGAACTGAGGGTCAGTTTTGGCAGGAGGGATTTGTTCAGTAGGTTGAAGCTGCCAGTCTAGCCAAACAGAAAAGGAATATTGCCTCTTGGAAAAGGAGAATATTTCCTTCTCAGGGATTCAGTGGGTTCAGTTCTGAAGGGATCCCTCGACTGGGTGAAGAAGGAAATGGTCGTAGACTCCTCTAGAGTCAAAGGGAAAGCTGCAATCTCACAGGGAGGGAGAATAAGTCCTGGAAGAAAGTACTAATGCCCAGGAAACTAAGATAGCGATATGAATTTTCATTGAGACACATTGTTACAGTTAAGAAATCTCCAAAACAAACAAACCTCTGTTAAGAAATGGGTCTCTAAGAAACTAAGCTACAACAATTCTTTGTTGCCTTATTCAAAATATCATAATTTGTAAATACAACAAAATTTACCTCAGTTTTCTCATCCCCTGCCTACAACTAACCCAACCGTGCCTGTTTAATAAAGTCATCATTCCTATTTGAACTTTGTGTCAAGTGCCATTTACAAAGGAAATAACAAGTGGGCTCCTGCTTATCAACAATAAATCTCTGGCCTCCGCAAAAGCCAAATATATTCTCTATAACAGGATGCGACACATAGATAGTCATAAACTATTTATTAACATTTGCTACCAAGGGGTCTTTAGTTCCAGCTCCTGCCAAGCTAGCAGTTCGAAAGCAAGAAATTGCAAGTACAGTAGATAAATAGGTACCACTTCGGTGGGAAGGTAACAGCGTTCTATGCGCCTTGGTGTTTAGTCATGCCGGCCACATGACCACGGAAACATTTTCGGACAGCTCCGGCTCTTCTGCTTGGAAACGGAGATGAGCACCGCAACCCTAGAGTCGGACTCGACTGGCTTTCGAGCAAGGGAACCTTTACCTTTACCTTTTTACCAAGAGGCTGCTTAGACAGAATGGGGAACAGTTATTTAGAGTTTTGGCGGGAACATCTGCCTCACAGTAAAACAAGCAGCTGGGATACGTCTTAGAGGGCATAAAATGTAATGCAGTTGAAAAAAATTGGAAGTGATTCTTAATCTTTCTGGAACCTTTATGGTCCTGTTATGTGCCATCATATAAAGATTTTTAGAACTTCAGAATGTTTCTTTCTAATAATGGTTTTTGCTGCTAGTTTATTATTGCATGTTTAATAATGTTCTAGTAGGGGAAGGAAGCATGGCCCCTTTGCCTGCAAGATTTGAGCAAGGCTGTTAATGACAGGACGTTTCGGAGGTCATTAATTCATAGGGTTGCCATAGGTCAGAAGCAGCTTGACCACACAATAGAGGTTATTTATACTTTTTTCATGTCAGAATGGACTTGATTCTATTTGAACCACTAGAGTTTCCTTAGACTGATTACCTTATATAATTCTTTGCTAATGATTGTTATGTCTTCTAACTGCTTTATGTGTTTGGTATCTGACTAATCATAATTTTAAACCCAAATATTACCAGTGCGTATTTACTGGCTCTGTGTTGGCTTTTGTTTCACTGCCTCTTAACGGGGTCTAATATGCTACATTGTTTCTTTTTCTCCCTTACCTTTTTTTGGAAAAGTTCAGGCGATCGTATATTTTTGGAAGCATTAATAAAATAAAATACAGACATTAAACCGAAGACAGGCAGATGTAGAAATCTGCCACATCCTCCCACCCTCTTCATAACAAAGCCGAGGAAGTACAGATTATGCCCTTCTCCCGTAACCACCTGTGTCTTATTCCCCCCCCCCCCCGGCTTTATTAGCAAAAGAGTATAAATCTGAACATGTATTTCAATTTACTAAAATATATGCCCATACTCTGTAAGACACATTGCCTGTGATTTAGTGGGGAAAGCAGGTGTTTCCCCTTGATGATATATTGATACAAAAATGTACCCTATGAGTGAACGTGTTCACGTATGAGTAGGATCAGAAGTGTCCTTCCTTATATAGTAGGGCAGATTCCTTGCAAACAAATGTGTATGCTTTCTGTACCATTAAAATGTAGTAAAACAAGCTAGCAATTTGTGAATGTATCCTAAGAAACAAGATCTGTGTGTGGTACTTAGTATTGCCAACCTCTAGACAGTGGCAGGAGATCTCCTGGGATTACAATAGATCTCCATCTGACAGAGATCAATTCTCCTGGAGAAAATGGCTGCTTTGGAAGGTGGACTCTATGGCATTGAAGTCCCTCCCCTCCCCAGACCCCACAGTCCTCAGGCTCCATCCCAAAAATCTCCAGGTATTTCCCAACCCGGCCCTGGCAACTTGAGTGGCACTTAATTGTTTCTTCCGTATTCTGGTTATAAATTTTCTTAACATTATGTTATCATCAGTAGTACTCATTTTTAAATAGAAAAATAGTTTTAAGAGTTTTCGCTATTAAAAAAAATGCTTTCTCATATGCTGCCCTACTGAGTTCAAAGTCTTCTTCTGTTCAAAGGAGGCTTCCTTCAATGGAAGCAGCTCAGGTCAGAGAAAGGCTCCAGATTTGGCAGAGAAGTAGGATAAAAGAAACCCTGTTAAACTGAGAGTTGTGGGTCTAGATGTGTGTCTATAAACCTGCTGAAAAATGGGTGTTATTTTATTAAAGAAATAACAGATGTTTCTATGCAAGGTCAAGACAAGATGGAATAGTCTCTTTTAGTGTCCTTATTTTTAGCTCTTGTTTCAGTGTGGTGTTAGTCTGTCAGAATATGCATTGAACACCACTCATTTCTTGTAACATATTTGCAGCTTTGGATATTGGAGGAAAATGTCTTGTGTGGAAGCAAACGGAGCCTCGTGACAAGGGGCTGAGCTGGGGCAGGGTGGTGGTGGGAATTACTGGGTTGTACCCAACTGGCTTTTCTGCTGGTGGGAAAGGAAGGAGACACCCATACCCAAAAAAGGCTGTGGTGACTTGTTCAGTTGCCAGCAACCTGGAGAAAAATGTCCTGCCCCTTTAACAGAGGCTTAATGGGATGTTATTTACTAGGTGATGTTATTTACTTCTGTGCTGTGAAAACCTTCAGCTGCCCATTTTCATAGGTGAAACCTCTATTAAAGGGGCAAGATTAAAGTGGCAACCCGAAGGTGAGAATCATGGGAGCTGCATGTACAAAAGCCACGTAGGATGGGGGTTGTGATATGGAAGGCAATTGGATGAGAAGATTGATTGGAAAAGTTGGCTGGATCCAAACCGGTGGTTAATTTAAACCAGTTGTTAGTGTTGGTTAAATAGCTCAGAAGAACTTGCTGAATGATGGGGAGTAAAGATGCAAGCAAGAGGAAGGCCATATCCATAACCTATAGGGAAATGTTGTGTGACCAAGGTTTTTTTCAAGGTCTTGCTCACTTTTAGGGTTGCCAGTCCCCAGGTCCAGGCAGCGGTCCCCCCAGTTTTAGGGGCATTTACCCACTGCCACCCAGCTGACTGGCAGGGGAAATCCCACCCCCAAACAACCATGTCCCCACGTGACATTCCCAACATGATGACATCACCCAGAAGTGACATCATCACATTGGCAACGTCACAAGGGACACTCTGGTTTGAAGGCAAAACTCTATGGTAAATTTGCCCTCAAACCAGAGAGTTCTGGCTTCAAACCAGAGTGTTGCTAATGAGATTACATCACATCCAGGTGATGTCATCACGTCGGGGATGTTGTGTGACATTCCCCACCCCCTCCAGGAATGGCCCCCAAATCCAAGGTAGACCTGGCAACCCTCCTCAGTTTTCAGCTTTTGTAGGCCCATAGCCAGGATTTTTTTAGTCATGGGGCATTTAAATATCCTAGGGGGCACTGGCTAGTCAAATTAGAGGTAATTTAATTAAAGTTAAATAGACTTTCTGGGGAAAATAAAGAGGTGCTGTCTGGCTTCACACTGCCACCATAGTTGGCCCTTTGCGCCAGGCAGCTGCGCAGAAATACCCGGCTTCTTCCCTGCACTCACCACCACTCAGGGGCCTGGGCTGGATGGGAAGTTGGGGGGCTTTGCCAGTAAGTTGGGGGGCCTAGCCCTGAGATGCCCCACTGTAGCTACGGGCCTGCTTTGCAGGGGAAGATTTCAAAATTAGAGAGTGTCAGACAGGGACCTCCCTCTTTAGCACAGCTCTCAGTTTTCTGGTTGTAATTCTTTGCCAGCTTCACACAAAGCGGTTAGTGAAGGGAAGATTTGCTGCAGGTAGGGCTGTGAGGTCTGAACTAAGAACTCCAAGGCAGGGAGAGATCTGGTAGTTGCTGGGTAACTTGTCTTCTTGCTCTACAGATCTCTTTGTCCATCAGGGAAGAAGGTAGGTGAAGGGACTGATAGGAAGCAACCACTGTGCTTCCTGCCCATCATGTTTTGTTTATTTTATTTATTTATAATTTCAATTTGTACCCCGCTCACCCCCAAAGGACTCTGAGCGGCTTACACGGTGCATGGTGCAGAGACCTATGCAGAAACCCTAACTATGGCAACAGTACGTCTGGGGTGGGGGGAGCCCTACCAGGTACCCTTCCGGCTCCGATCGTTCGTTTATCCGGCGAGTGGGCGACTTCTTCCAGTTTTCTCCGGTGCGTCTTCCGTGGCCTCTGCTGTTCTTTCGGCTCTCTGGCGACTCCTCTCGGGGGCTGTTGGTTATGGGCCCTGGTGCGCAGCTTTGCACTTTTAAGGGAACAGGCACCCATAACTGGCAAGATTGGCTGCAAGAGGGAGACCCCCCCCATTTCCTTTGTCAAGTACAGGAATAGAGGAATAGTCTGTATTTTGTTTGTTTGTCTCATAATGTGTTCCTAATGAGTTTTATTGGCTATCGGTGACAGGTTAACAGTGCAGTCCTAATATGAGGTACACCTCTCTAAGCCCATTGGTCTCAATGGTCTTGGAAGGGTGTACTGATTGATAATCAAAATGTTTGAAGGTAATGCTGGAATAAGAACATGGTATCTGTGGTTTCTGCAAGGCTGCCCTGCTGTGCTGGATGCTACTGAAAGTATGCTGTTATAATTTCCAGGGTCTGGAGATGATACAAGATCTTGGGGACCACCCTTCATTGGAAAGGAAAGTGTTTATTTTCTCAGCATAAACAGAAATAAAAAGGTAAAAAAATGGTGTAAATTACTCAGTGGATACATCTTAAACACGTGCCAGAATTGATTTCTTTTTTGTAATGATAACTGTTAGAGCGACTTGTTACCTTAACAAAAATATTGTGATTTCTTTTTCATTATTAGAGCATAGCGGTTAATATGAAGAATCCTAAAGGAGCAAAGATAATTAGAGAGGTATGTTTTAGATTTTTTTAAATCACATGTTTATCCTGTTGTAACTTAAGTTCCTTTTCATGTCAGCTGTGCAACAGTTACGAAATAGTTGCTTGTGACCCAAGCGACGTTCTGCCATCTAGTTAATCTGTTGTGGGGAAATTGCCCTGTCTTGAATTTTTGTTCACTCTTCTGCCTTAATAAGCTCAGTGTGGCTGTCTGAGAATGGTTTATGTCTATGTTTTACTTGCTAAGCAGTGTTCCGCTATCCCGTTTATGAAACTCAGAACCAAGCCTTAGCTCAAATATTAACTACAGGCCGTTGCTGACCTCTACAGCAGAAAACAGAACGTTCATTCGCAGACTCTTTACAGTTGGCGTCTCCATTTGAATTGTTGATACAGCTGAGCAGAACCAATGCATCAATGTTCTGGACTTGATTTAAATCCTGGTTTGTGGAGGAGTGGAAACACAGATGCCAGTTTACTCAGGTGCCTCCATTTGGATGTCAATGCAAACTGGAGTTTGAATTGAGGCTCTGCAGATCAGGAAGATTCCAGTTGCATTCCATGGGCGCTAGGAAGAAGGAATCAGGAGAACCAACATGTGCACGTAAAGTGTGGAAACCACCTGTGTTTGTGCCCATTCTGAAAAAAACCTTTGTTTTGCCATGTCATTTGAATACAGTCATTAAACGCTCATGGATAGTGCCATTTTCCTTGAGGCCGCTAAGCTATTCTTCAATCATATGTCTTGTTGTTTTTCTCTAAATTCCCATCGGCTGCTCTGAATATTTGTTAACCTGGATTCTTCTTTCGTCTTAAGGGCAGCAATACAATCCACAAGCTAGAGCAATAAGAGCTGTGATTGCTGATAAGATGACACCGGTTTACAGGAACCAGTTCCAGCGTATTCAGAACTAATCAGCCAGATACGTGATATTTTCAGAAAGTATGATTCCTTGGCCAATTTAAAATAATCTAAAACAGGTTGCTTTTGAGCAAAATCCGTCTTTTAGCATGAATATACATATGCTGACTAGAAAAGGTATTTTGGGAAGTGGGAGAGATGGCCTTGAAATGTTAAAATAATAGATCGCTGTTTGGGGAAGGAAAGCAATGGCGTTCCCAGGGTAATAGGGGATGGATTTCTTGCAAAACCCGGAAGACCATGTGTGTCTGGTGCTCCTATTTCAGATAGCAAAGGGGGGCACAGCTGGGGAAGAATCCCAGTAGGATCAGACCTGCAAAGTTGGGTAGGAGCAGAGGTCATTTCGGGGGGGGGGGAACGTGGGGGACCGCAGTTCCCCCGAGTGAGGTGCAGGGGGCGGGGCACATGACGAAGCCCCGCCCCCTGCTTCCGGCCGCCCCGCTTCCAGCCCTCATTCAGCAAGGAGGAGGCAGGAGAAGAGGGAGGGTAAGTTGCTTCCTCCCCGCCTCTCCCCACCCCTGCCTGCCTGGGGCCAGGGAGGGCCTTGGTGGGGCTTCCTCGCACTCCCGCTGGCCTTGCAGGTCCACCGCCGGGCCCCTGATGTCAGGGGGTGTGGCATATGCTAATGAGTTATGCTAATGAGTTCCCCTAGCTCCTTTTCTACGAAATGACCCCTGGGTAGGAGGAAGAGAAGGAGCTCAGTACTTGGTTATTAGTCTCCTCCTTTCTGATAAGATTCGTGTGCCTGTCTTTCACCTGAGCATCTCAGGGCCCAAGTTCGGTAGCAGCAATGTAAAAAGCACAAAAAACCAATTTTAAAAACACCTTATGCCCCCACTAACCTTATGCCCACAGTAATCTAACTTTGTAAATTGTATTATATATTTTGTATGTCGACTGCACTCAGTGCCTTATGTGAGCCGCCCTGAGCCCGCTCGCGGGGAGGACGGGGTATAAATACGATAAAATAAATAAATAACAGGCATTCCCTCTCTGCCCAGGCTCACACTACCCCCCATAAGATCTCTGCAACAGCTCTGTTTTGCAGCCTCACCAGAAAGCGAGGAAAGTAGGGGCCCCCTTGACCTCTTTGGAGTGGCTGTTCCAGAAGGATGGGCTGGCCATCGAAAAGGCTCAAGCACATGAATATTGTTGCTGAATGTTCTTTAGACAAAGGGGTTATGGACAGTGGACTGCTGGGAAGAAGAAAGCTGCTGCACGGGAACATGGTGGGAAAAGTGGTCCTCCAAGGTTGTGGGCACCAGGTCATTGAAGGACTTTGAAGGTCAGACCAACACCTTGAATTGAACCCAGAAACCAATTGGCAACTAGAGAAGGATGCTTGGAATAGGAGTGGCATCTCCAAATAACAGTTTTGCACTAGCTGCAGTTTCCACCATGTAGAACATGTAACAGTAATCTAGCCTCAAAGTTATTGAAGCATGAAATAAGCATGCCTAGATCAGATGCCTAAAAATAGGGAGGCATCTTCCCAATTAGGTGCAGCGGGAAAGAAGCATTTTTTCACTGTCCACCTGTTTCTCCAGCAGGTTAAGGATCTAGCAGGGCACCCAAGCACTTCACACAGTCTTTCAGCAAATGTGGCATAGATAATAGGAAGCATAATTCCATTTAAAGCAGTAGCCCTTCCAACCAGCATCACCACCTCCATCTTATCTGGATTGAGCTCCAGTTTGTTCTCCCTCGGCCACTTGGCCACCACGTTGAGACACTGGGTGAAGAAGAAGAAGAATAGGTTTTTATACCTCACTTTTCTATACCTTAAGGAAGAAGAAGAGTTGGATTTATAGCCCGCCCTTCACTCGGAGTCTCAGAGCTGCTTACAATCTCCTTCCCTTCCTCTCCCCACAATAGACACCCTGTGAGTAAGTGGGGCTGAGAGAGCTCTGAGAGAGAACCACTCTTGAGAGAACAGCTCTGAGAGAACTTGTGACTGACCCAAGGTCATCCAGCTGGCTGCATGTGGAGGAGTGGGGAATCAAACCCAGTTCTCTAGATTAGAGTCCACCGCTCTTAACCACCACACCACACTGACAGCTGGTGGTGACATATTCAGAGTGATATATAACAGATACCATGCCTGTATTGATGCCAACCTACTTCAGAAGATCTTCTTAAGGAGCTTTAAGGTAAAGGTAAAGGTTCCCTTGCTCGAAAGCCAGTCGAATTACGGTTACGGTGCTCATCTCCGTTTCAAAGCTGAAGAGCCAGCGCTGTCTGAAGACATTTCCGTGGTCATGTGGCCGGCATGACTAAACACCAAGGCGCAGGGAACGCTGTTACCTTCCCACTGAAGTGGTACCTATTTATCTACTTGCAATTTCTTGCTTTCGAACTGCTAGGTTGGCAGGAGCTGGAACTAGAGATGGGAGCTCACTCCGTCATGCGGCACCCGGGTCTTGAACTGCTGAACTACTGACCTTCCACAGCCTGCAGTTCAGCGTCTTAACCACTTGAGCCACCGCAGCTTTAGATAGATATTAAACAATATGGGAGATAACTGACCCTTGTGACACTCCCCTCATGTCAGCTCCCAACAAATTGATTCGGCATCTCCCACTGCAGAGATTTGTGAGCAGTCTGATAGAAAAGGCCATAACTGTCTCAGCGCTGCTCCACCCAACCCACCTCACGTTCCAGGTGCCTCAGCAGTATAGCACACTCCGCCATATCAGATGCCACTGACAGATCTTTCTTCATATGATGATGGAGACCATCCATAGGTTCCCCAAAGGCCATCTCAAACCCAGGCCTGAAACCAGATGGAAAAGTGATATTAACAGGATTATTTCTCAGCAACCTCTTCTTTGGAAGAAGTGGCTTGGAAGAGGACAAGTAGTCAGAGGCTCATGGTGAATCTGCCCCAGCATGCTTTAGAGTTATAGTGTTTCCCCTGCTGGGTCTACCCACTCATATATGAGGCAGTGGTGATCATGGCAAGGAGTACTGCCTGCCTTGCATTATCTGAATTGCATCCAGCTGTGCTTTTCTGTGAGCATTTGGAACATATTAACCTTACTGATGGCTCAACATTAGGATTTCTCTTGATCGTTTGCTAATGCTTAGATTTAGACTGGCTGCTGTTGGGATGGATCCAACCAGCTTTTCTGTTGGTGAACAAGGGAAGGGAGAGTCTCCTTTGACCTACTAGAAGACAGTGCTGGAGATCATGGGACCATCTTGAACAAGGAGCCTATGTGATTGAAGCTATAATAAGGAGGGGAATTGGGGGAGACTGAGAAGAAGGGGGGGGAAAGCTGTTGGATCCAACGCACTTAAGTGTCAAATTTCATGCTTGTTTCTGTTGCTTGTTTAAGTGTTAAGCTGATCACTTTGGCTCTCGGAACTTCCTGTCTCCAAGAGTCTACACAAAATTAAACTATTTGAAAATGCTAGCTGTGATATTTTTAAAAAACACTGTTGCCAATAATAGTTTTTTCATTAGTCAGCAAGGCACATTAATAGATGTTTTTGTTTTCTTTCCACCTGCTCCTGATACAGTAATTGACAATTGCCATGTAAGCGCTTACCCTGTTAGCCGTGACAAGTTGCCACAGTCATCCCACCGCAACAGCATATATTTGACAAATTCAAGATTTTGTCTGTAGGATCCCCCTCAAAGGCAGACACTGTGTCTGTTGTGTAATTATCGAGGGTGTAAAAGAAAGCGCATACGCACGCGCACACACACACACACACACAGAGTTGTTCGGGACTTTAAATTTTAATTATCCAAGACATATTTGACTTGTATACCACAACTATGCTGGAACGGTCTTGTTTACTGAAATTTTAAATTAAGTTATGTGGGGAACTTGTTGAACTTTTGAAGTTCATTGAGAGTCTGACTCATCTTCACCTTTTATTTCAGCTTGCAGCTGTCAGTGATGTTTTTGTGGAAAACTACGTCCCTGGGAAACTGGTTGAAATGGGCTTAGGGTACGAAGACATTAACAAGATTGCTCCTCATATTGTTTACTGTTCAATAACAGGTATTTTAACTTGCGTTATGGCTCAGTGATAAAAGTATTTACTACATTTTCTTCATCCTGTCTGGTATTTTTCAGTAAGAAGTAAGCCATTCTTTTTTTCAATTCCTTCTTATTTTTCGTTCTCATTCAAATTAGTCGAATGGGGATTACGAAAACAGAGCTGTTTCCACCACAGAAAACCAATTTCAGGAATGCTCACAGTCAGGGGGGAAGCTTTTGTTCTGACATAAAGTCCAAGATGGAGTGTGATTGTATTTCTTGTCATACTGGTTTTGGTAATGAGAATCTCGATGCAAGCCTTCAGTATCAACTGGGACACTGTTCTTACATGATAACGTTGAGATCTGAAGAACCAATATTATTACTGGGTATGTTCAGAAAACAAAATCTGGTTCAGGTTCACTCTGAGGAAGCTTGGGATTTCCTTTTGTCACTTCTCCTTTTCCAAAGGGACCTCCTGACTAATATTTTGCACCTGCTTGAGAGGGTAAAAGGCACACAAATAACTATGGGATCATTTTTGACCAAGTAGTGAGCCCCCCCCCCCCAGGCAAGTCACAAAGAGCCCTAAGACCTGGATATAGTGAAAACAGAGCTCTTATTGAGGAGAATAACCATGACATTCTAGCACACAAAAATAACATCAGCTGCTAGAATGCTGAGATGCAAATATTTCACACATCCATCCGCACTTCTTTAATGTATATCACTCAAGAAGGAGAGGCGGGGGTAATAGAGAGGGGGAGCAGAATAAGAAAACAAAGGCTTATGTCTACTTATCAGCATGATCCTGCACTGAGAGTTCTCAGGTAAGAGTCCCAGTCAATAATTCAAAAAGGACCTGTGGAACCACTTGAATGGTGTGTGTGTGTGGGGGGGAGATATTTGGAGCCAGACCAAGAAAAATCCAAGCATATATTCAAAGATGGGGGAGAGTAGAAGGCACTGGAGTTTGTCTTCCAAGGCAGGACTGATCATAACAAAGGAATTTAAATCAGGGCACATGGCAGAGCAGAGAATTAGTACACTTCAGGGATAGTTTCTGGCTTCAGTTACAGGCTTTGGAAATGAATATAATTCTTTTTCCTGGACTTGGTGAAAAAGGAGGTGATTCCAAGGATGCTTCCACATGTAGACGATTGTCTTTGTAGCGGCTGCAAATGCCGGGGCATTCACAGTGGCAGTGGGGAATCCACACAGCAGTTTTGTGTGCACTTGCCTTGCCTCAGTCGGTTGCAGTCTTTAGACGCTTGTGTATATCCTGCTATGTACTAGCTGATCCATGGGAAATGCCAGGTAAGTAACATCAAGTACTCCTGGAAGCATTTCTGGCTTTCCCTTCCTCTGGCGCTTTTGTCCTCAGAGACCGTAGTGCTTTCATATGTCTTGAGTGTCAGCTATGCTGCCATATAGTTTATGGGCCCGGGTTAGCTTTCATGACCTGTGCGCCAGTTGCTGCCACATTCCTTTCTTTTCGCTTCTCCCCCTCATTATCACTGACCTTGTAGCCAACCTGTGTAGTGTCTTCCCATCAATTAACCGTGAGACTAGTTTCGTTTCCCAGCCTCAGCTCTAACTGCCTTGGTCCTCTTTCCTGCCTGCGGGGGTCAGGCCGATTGGCCCATAGGTGGTGGTGGGGGGTGCTTTTGAATACCCTACATCTCTCTCAGCTTTCTATGATGTAGTTATTCCTAACAGTGCCTGTGTCTCTGCTACCATAGTGGTAACAATAAAGTAAAACCTTCGAAGAACCGTGTGCTCTGTTGTTTGACTGTGGGTCCTGACACTGAGCCCTGTTTATCGTCGTTTTTGTTATATTAAATCAAAGGAAACAATACACACAATGTTTTATGGAATCTTGTGTGCCAGTGCTCTGTAAACATAATCCAGTTGCATACAAGTCTATTTGACTGAGGTTCCCCCATTTCCCTTTCCATAATAAGCTAGTTAGAAGAGGCACAGTCCAGATCTTTTTGTTCTGGTCCATTATTGTTCCTGTTTATCTTTTTTTAATAATGATGTTGGAGCATTCAGTAGATGAACAAAGCCAGGATTCAGGCGCCTTGCTTTTGTCTGTCCCCTTTAATTTTGGTTCCCATGTATTATATCATACTGAAACTCAGGCCTGTTTCTTGCTTTCTTGCTTTCTGCTTCCAGTCCTGAACTGCTTGCCCTCCTTCACAAAGCCTGTGCCATTTTGGAAGGACTCGTTAATGTGTACGAAAGCAGGAATATATGTCTTAGTATTCATATATCTTCTTTGACACATCTTCTGGGTTGGATGCCTTCCCATTCATGTGTACAGTTGTTGGTACATGTCTGTTGTTCATTGCTTCAACTTTGGAGGTTTCTGATCTTGGGCAGTCAGTGTGACTCTGGCATGTGTATGTAGGGAGAAGAGCTGGTGCCGAAAAGTCTGGTCCAGTTGCTGCTTTGATGCTTCAAAGGGTGTGGTTATCCCATAGAGACTGTGCCAACCCAAAGAATTCTTTCTATTACTATGACAGGATTCCTTATGTAATAGCGAAAGAACTTGCACAACTTCTAGGCATGTAAATCCGTTTTTTAAAACCCTATTTTCAGCTTATTTAGCTTCTTGTTTGTCGAAATGTACTTCTGAAATAAATATGATATTGATATAATGGAGACAAGAATTTATCTTTACTGCTAGTGGGGGGAGAAGACATGTGTTTGAATTTTAAATGGACCCAGTGAATCCCTCTCAAAGTATTAAACTAGATTTGTATGGGATTTGATCTCCTTTCAGTGCTTCCACAGCCGTGTCTTCTTTTACTGACAACATTCATTCAGTCATTACAAATACTCCAGAGAAAACTGTTGTTAAATCATTGCATTCCAATGTTATCCCTGTTGACTTTCTGTCTTTTTAAGACCCAGTTAGTGGCATTTTTCTGACTTCTAATGCAGTTGTAGTATCAGTATTTCAGACATGAGCTAGCAAAATACTTTTGACTTAACCTAGTGCAGAGGGATTGTCTGCAACGTGGTCGGATTCTGTACAGGGCAGTTTTCTGTGTTCTTATGTGGCTTGACTGTGGAAGGATCCCTTCTGGGAACTCACAGTTGCTGTTGAATCCTGTGCAAATTTGCCATAAAGGTAAATTTTGCTCAGATGTCAGGAATGGAAAGAAAGTAAAAAGAAGGAAAGAGATTGCCAAAAGGTTTGAGAAGCAAGCTGAGCTTTCAGTGACTATTTATGGGAGGAGAATAAGAGAGCTGGCCAAACATCTATGGAGGGGTCACGGCAGTTGGTATGGCATGACCAGTCAGCACAGGTAAGAGAAGGAATGGAGGCAGAAATGTGAGCCTTTACAAGGAGGTTGGAAGAAGGAGAGCATTGGGCTTGTTGGGGATGGTGAACAGACATGAAATAAGTCAGTTGTGGAAGGAATCTGGTTGCAACTCCTGAAGGAAAGCCTGGTCAGCGATCACCATGATATTAAGGATGGCGCCAATATAATATTTAACACTGGCTAATTTGAGGCTGCAGTGGTTCTAAGACGCTGAGCTGCAGACCGGAAGGTTGGTAGCTCGGCAGTTCGAGACCCGAGTGCTGCATGACAGAGTGAGCTCCCATCTCTGGCCCCAGCTCCTGCCAACCTAGCAGTTCGAAAGCAAGAAATTGCAAGTAGATAAATAGGTATTAGTAACAGCTTTCCATGTGCCTCGGTGTTTAGTCATACCAGCCACATGACGACAGAAAAGTCTTTGGACAGCGCAGGCTTTTCGGCTTGGAAACGGGGATGAGCACCACCCCTTAGAGTCGGATTTGGCTGGCTTTCAAGCAAGGGAAACCTTTACTTGTATTTTAATCTGAGTAAAGGACATACTTAAGATGGCAGAGATAGGAGGAAGGAGCACAGAAGCCATAATCTACTTCCAACCAGTTTGGCATAGTGGTTAGGAGCGCGGACCCTAATCTGGGAGAACCTGGTTTGATTCCCCCCTCCACTTGCAGATGCAGGTGTGACCTTGGGTCAGTCATAAGTTCTTTCAGAGCTGTTCTCTCAAGAGCAATTATCGAAAGAGTTCTCTCCGCCAGCCCTGCCTACCTCACAGGGTGTCTGTTGTGGGGAGGGGAAGGGAAAGGAGACTGTAAGCAGCTCTGAGACTCCGAGTGGAGGGCGGGGTATAAATCCAATCTCTTCTCTTCTTGTTAAGGGCCTAGGAGCATTACATCTTCACTGCCCCTACATGAAATGGTAGAAGTATAGTAATTCTTTTAATCTAAATTGTGTTTGTCTTTCTCTTGCAGGAGAAAATATAAACAGGTGCACTTGAATGTAAACCACTGAAACTGATTTCAAAATCCCTTTGTTTTAGGGAAAATATGCTTGAGTTTGCAGCCATAAGCCTACATTTTGGTTAGCTGTGAAACAATAGCTCTAATTGTTACGTTCCTGGCACTTCAGAATGGATTCAGCATACGTGATCTTTTTGATAGGCACCATCACTTTTTCTTCTGAAAGGGAGAATGTGTGGATTTTCTGCCTTGGTACACGCATACTAGATTCTTAATCTGACATCAGGTGTCCTTGTTCTAAAGCTGGAGTATTTGCACATTGCCCTTTTTGGAAGAAAGAGTGAGCATGCATATAGGAAGGGTCCCATTTGTCTTGTGTACATGATCAAACAAAGCAACTGAACAGGACTAATGAAGTTTTAGAATAGATTCATTTCTACTTTATTTGCTCTGGAAGAGTTAATGCGGTGATGGCTGACAACCTAGAAGATGTGGCATTTCAGAATGTAGAAGTCATGTGTGGGAAAATAGTTTGTGTTGGTAACCCAGATATGAACTCCTTTTGGAATTTCAGAGATTTTGATTAGTAAACTCTTTAACGTCTTATCTAAATAAACCTGATTGAGTCTCCGTAGCCCCTTGCACTGATGATTGCTCCAATGCTAGAATTCCACAATCTTTCCCAGCATTCTTCCAGCTTTCTGAATGTTCTCAGGGCTCCCTCGGCCTATTTTTG